GATTTCCTTCTGCCGTGCGTGCGCTTAGCGTGCGTCTGCGTGCGTGCGTTGGTGCGTGTGTCATCTCACGCAGGGCCATCTGTCGGGGACAAGCGAGGAAAACTCGCTTGCCAGATGATGAAGGACGGAGTCGACGGCGTCAACTTGTACCGACTGGAACTGATCACTCTCTGGATGCTCATGGCACGACACTGCAATGGCATGCGAACAACGATATCGATTCTGTTGTCGCTAAGAAAAACGACCGTCACGATGCCGCTGCCGTTTAAAAATGAATCCAATCTTTCGAATGATTTCTCATCTTCTTCTTCAATCATTCTTTCTTTCTAGATTCTCTTATCCTCTTATCAGTTTTTAGCTTAAATGTTCTGCTTCTCACAAGGGGTGAGTACTTAGCTTCGAGCGAGTTTGTTTCACGGGGAAATATCAATACACGTGTATATAAGCGCCATTTTGTGTGTCGTCTGGCACGGGGGGAATACATGGCTTACATGTTTATAGCGGCCATCTTTGTGTGTTACTGCTGCACCGGGGAATCATCTCCAATATTACTGCTATATACGGCCTCTTGTGTGTCGCGTGCCACGGGCGGAAATCATGCGTCTACACTGTATTATAGCGGCCATCTTTGTGTTTCGCTGCACGGCTGGGAATTTCATACACTGTATATAGCCGGCTCTTTCTGTGTCCGCTGCACGAGGGAATCATGCCTCTCACTGTATATAGCGCCATCTTTACGTTGGTTTCGCTGGCTGTGGCGTTTGTTTCACCTGGGGGATATCCAATATACTGTATATAGCGGCCATCTTTGTGGTGTCCGCTTGCCGGACGGGAAATCATGGTCTACACTGTATATAGCGGCAATCTTCCACTTGTGTTTCCGCCCTGCCGGGGAATATCCAATCACTGTATATAGCGGCCATTTTTGTGTGGTCCGCCTGCCACGGGGGGAATTCATCCAATACACACTGTATATGCGGCATCTTGTGTGTTTCGACCCTGCAGGCTGTGTCCAGCTCGGACATGTTGATCGGGTCTACGTTCACAGTAAGAGTGCTGGATTATTCTGTACGCGCTCGTACCTCGAGCTTTCTCATTAACATCAACGCTGCCATCGACACTACGCTCACACAGGACCTGGAGATTGGAGGGGCTGTATTGCCAAATAGATTCACCTAGTAGTAATATAATAATAATTATAATAATAATAATAATAATAATAATAAATATATAATAATAATAATAATAATAATAGTAATAATCCCCCGCCCCGCCTTCTGAAGCAGGAGTCGCTTGAAATATATTTCAACGTACGTATATATACTAGTTTCGTAATGCGCTCGTGTCAAAAAGTCCCGCTTAACACGTGGGCACGGTTCTTTTATATTTATCTTCCATTCTTCTTCTATCGCGGGTGGTGTGTAAATAAAGTATAGTGAGCAGTACATGATGGTGCTAAACTGCTAACTCTATACTCTGCTCTCTCCGCTACGATTAAGGGTTTCTTCAGTGCCCGGATGTACCACTTTCGCCACACACGGATATGCTCGTGTTTGGTTACGTCAGCGCGCTTCCCATCCACTAGAAATATATTGTTGAAATACTGTCTCTGTGTTGATGGCGCTTTTACTTAGATCGCGGCACGCGGACATGTTGTCGCGCTGTGATGTTCCTTGTTAATAATTAGCTATGCGTTTGCAGGATAGTGTGTCAGTGCGGAGGCTACTCCACGGGCGACGATCTGGCCATGATGAAACGCGTCGTCAAAGAATACAACGAAAAGTTTCGCGCGCTGGCCGATAGCGGGCGCTACGATGGCAGAGACGACTTTACTGTGGTCTACCAGCCTTACATGGAGGACGCACCGCTACCAATTAAGGCAGTAAGTCACCAATGTGAAGGCTGGCTCACTCTCTAGATCTCTCCCCCTCTTTCTCTATAACTGTCCCATACGCTTTGATAATGCTCCGAATGCGTCTGTTTCCGTGTACCGTACGCATTGACGTGTTATGCACGTACCGGCGTCTGCTATACACCTTCGCGTGTTATAGAACGACGTAGTACCCATAATACCTCGCGCGTCATAGGCAAGAAGCCATCTCTATCGTCTATAACGTACCTGTACTTACTGACGGTGCGTATCGCCTGCGCTTATGTCACGGTGTATGTCTCATGTGCCTGCGTTAAGGGTATATATCTCATCATTAAAACGGATAGATCTCGCAACAAAAGGCCTATATAGACCTACTGTGAGCCTACATGCAGTGTGCAAACATCACGAAATGTTCTCATTGAGCCAGAAATGTTCTCCGAAGTTGACTATTTTGACAACTCTGTCACTGTCAGGCGCAAGTTATTTGTACGAAGTGCCAGATAGCGCAAAATAGTATCCGTACGCCGTAGCACAAATAGTTCCTGGAACGAAAACACTATATTTGTTTCCTGATTGCATATGTAATGTAGATATATGATTTAAACAAATTTCACAATTTTGTATTGAATAAACATATAATAATGAATTTTATGCCTTGTTTTATCATAGAAAATATCTGTTAACGATCGCTCTGCTGTGTCCCGGATGTGTAAGCATCACTGTGGTGCTACTTTCGTAAGAGAAGTAATTTCGTTTAGAAATACGTAATTTTTTTCAACATAGACGAGCTCACTGTTCACAGTAGGTCTATATATGCATTTAGCTGTGAGGTTAAGCAACTTTAACCTATGAAATGACGAGGGTGTATGCATTTTCTACCTACCTTACGATGAGGGAATATGCCTAACTCTTACGTGTTACCAGTTTCTCTTACCTGGCTTACTATTAACTATTATGTTGGTGTTTGCTGTCGCTCCACACGTCTGCTTGAATGTGTCAGCTAATTTCCTTGCTTATATCCTTCAGGACGGGAAACCAGATATGACGTTTGTCGCACCCGATTGTTTTCACTTCTCAAGCCGTGGGCATGAATCTATTGCACTGGCCATGTGGAACAACATGGTAGGTGAACGGAACGTACAGCATCTAATGCGTTACTTTACGAATAATGCGTTCGAAATTTAACGCGTTATGCATGCAATTCCTCGATTTTATTACGTGCAATAAAACGTGAGCATCACCACAACGCGCTGGTTGTATAATGCACATCTAGGAATAATAATATCGAAATGGTTATCATGTGTGTATTTACAGTTGGAGCCCGTGGGGAAAAAGACCAAGGCAGCGTTGGTCACCAGTGATATGTACTGTCCAACAAAGGTAACACTTAGTCGACTACGATTTCGTTACTTCTCTTTGTTTTGTGATGATGTGAACAGGTATATATATATATATATATATATATATATATAATATATATATGGCTGATGAGCATTATACTGTTTGCTACTAATTGATTGTACTATTGCTGCAATGGCTCATTTCGATTTATTCGCCTTTCCAGATTTTTTCTCTCTCGGCTATAATGCGTTGGCTAATTTGATTGAAAGTATAGACCTTTTTTATCCGTTGTTCTGGTTGCGGTACATTTCTGCCGAGAAACCGCGTAGTTGATATATAGAAAGAGACGAAAATAGCGGATACATCAATGAAAAACGAGATTGTGAAGGTAGCAATCGTCTCTTTCAGGAACTCCGTACATATTTTACGAAACAGAACCAGGCATCACACCTGATCAGGAGAGCTGTTGCAGGTGGCAGGAGCGGGAGGCGGGCAGGCGGGGACAGGAGGCGGAGGCGGGGGCAGATGCGGGGCAGGAGGCGGGGGAGGAGACGGGAGGCGGGAGGCAGGAGCGTGTCGGGCAGGAGCGGGGGCATGGAGGGGGCGGGGGCAGGAGGGGAGCCGGAGCAGGAGCGGGGCAGGAGGCGGTAGGCGGGGCAGGGAGGCAGGAGGCGGAGGCAGAGGCGGGAGGCTGGAGCAGGCGGCGGGGCAGGAGACGGGCAGGGAGGCGGAGGCGGGAGCAGGAGGCAGAGGCGGGGGCAGAGGCGGGAG